TTCCGTTTATACAGGTTCATGGCTTTGAGTGGCTTTTCTCTTATAGAGGTTTAAAAAATAGAGCAAATATGTAGTGATAATTATATATGTATTGTATAGGTATGCATTCACTATTTTATGTTTAATCATTTAACGACAACACTGATTTTTCGTTTTAACATTTTGGGTAGGTGCCGAACCTTTCTTCGAAAATGATACTTATCAACTGTAGCGAGTTCGATAATAGGTCAGTACTCATGCACATTTAATCATTTTAATAGAATACGATACAAAAGCAAATTAACCATTGTATTTAAAAATAAATTACTTTCACGAAATTTACAAAAGTGGCCCTTACTTTCACGAAATTTAAAAAACGTGTCATAACAATGTTAAATACGCTCTACTATCGCTTATGGAGCTACAGACAAGTAACAGCATGTGGACCTCTATAACAAGTTTCACTTATAGAGGTCCACAAGGGAAAAACTACTTTCTCTTATAAAGTTTATTCCTCAATAATTGAGGTTTTACTTCCAAATTTTTCATTTCCAAAAATTACAAAACAATTTAGAGCCAAAATGGAGAATATTAATAATAAAAATGTTCTTTAACTGAAATATGCTTCCAAAGTTAATCTCAAATAATGCCAGTTAAAGTTTTTTGAAACATAAGTAGATTTTGCGTAATTTTTGCTTGAAGTTAATGCAGTTTATAAAAATATTCTCAAAAACTGTTCAACATTTCTTTAATTTTTTTCCTCCGGTAGAGTAAATGACACTTAAAATAGCGCTGCTTCCACTTTTGGCAAACACTCAAACATATTTTTAAATATTGCAAACAAAAGATTAACATTGCAAAACTAGAGATTTTTTCCTTCATGAAATCTTCAGTTTAAAACTAGGTATTGAAATAATGAAAATGAAAACTGAATTTTTAAAAATTGCAAATGATTAACTATTTTTCGTGTCGGTAAGATTGAGTTTCGCCATGCGTCAGGGGGTGTAGGTGTAACGTGCCTGATGATGTGTTCGACCTGGAGAGGTAGCTCAGTGCAACAAATGATGTCACTGTAGTCCCTTTGACCGGGAGCTCCTAGGCTCCTAGACTCCCCACCGTGGCAGGATTTTCCACACTAGCATCATAGCTAAGTGTAATTTCGCTGCTGTTTGGAATTCTAGCGGCCGGCTGCTCTGAGCGGTATAGTTTACCGTGGTTTTTCTTATCAATACCAAGCGAATGCCGGAGCAACTACTCTAACAAACTGGTTACGGAGCGCGCGCGATCTTACCTTCCCCTTTCTGTGGCCTATCCTCACCCCTTATACACACTTACACTAACATGCACTACACTACCACATATAACGTGGTACAGTTCCGGAACTTAGAGCTTGTCGCAGCTGTGGTGGTGCCCCGCTGGTGGGAGATACATAGTTGGAATAACCGTGCTAGCGGGCGGTAGGTCGCCGCCGGAGTTCCCTGTAGGGGAAAGACCACCGCAACATCCCGAGCAAAGCATGCACTATACTTACGGGACTATCGGCCCTATGAATTGCCCGAAACACTAACAATCAATCTGACGTTTTAACTCTGAGTTGGAATCTCGACGCACAGAAAAAATACTGGCTGGAATAACTTCACAGTTTATACATTCAGTCGTGCCATAAGGCAACATTTTCATAACTAATATTAACACTTTTCTGTAGAAATTGGGAACAAACTGCTAATTTCGTTTGTAATGAAATCTCATTCTTGTTTGTTTGGGAATGAGAGAATGCTCTTCTGTGAAATGTGAAAATTCTCTCTAGAGCATGGGGTTCTAAAAATGTGGTTCTTGAATTGACATGAGAAAAATATTGAAAACATTAGCAACTTTATTTAAATGCCGGAGATTTATCCGTAAAACTGTATTACTCTTATATGAATGCACATACACAATCTTTTCTGTGATTTGTTATAAAACTGACTTCCTTCCACGTGCTAATAATTATTTTTTTGACTTTCTTTTTATTTTAACTTATATATAAAAGATCCCTAATGTAGCCATTTAAATGAATAAAATCTATCATTTACGAAAATATTATCGAGACTACATTAAACTTCTAGTCGTGTTTGATGGGTGCTATGCTTAAAAAGTTTGAGAACCTCAGCTTTTCAGAAATGTGAAGTAGTGATTCTGAACTTCAAGAAAATGTGGACAGACTATACTTCTCCCCCATACGTGATGTAGATTTTAATGTTCTTGAACGAAAATAAATCTAAATTTAAATTCTAGAAGGTGTGTTTTAAAATAATGGAACAAATAATGGTCTTCATTTTTCTTGGCTGGTTTGATAGTTACAGACATTGGAAATGTTTAACTATGAATATGGTTGATAAGAGATGCAGTGTAGAGAGTGGGGCAAATACCGCCGAAGGATGTGGGTAACTTTCTCGCCCTTAATGTTTTGAAAATATGAGTAGTTTTCGTGAAATTTGCCGAAAAAATAGGCATTTTTTTAATTAACATTTTTTTCTCACACTGCTCGAATTTGTTTCTTTATTTTTGTTAAAGGAATTTTTAAAATAATGGAGCATGTCTCATTTTCGTTGACGTCTGAATTTTCAAAAATTTGAAATTTAGAAATAACCCGAGAAATTACATAATTTAAAAACATCTAGTTTCGAATGGTTGTAACGTTGTTTTTTTTCAGTTACGAAAGGAAAATAGTATCAAAAGGTAACCTATTGCAACAGCTCACTAGAAGGATTCGTCTGATTTAGACAATTCTTCACTATTGAAGAAAATCTATGTAAATAGGCGTAATTTGAAAGCAGTGGATTGCGCAGTTGTGATGTGTCCGGAGCGCGATCGCCGAGTGCGCGCAGCGCCCTCGCGAAGGCGTTTGGCGGCGTTCGCAGCGCGCGCGAGTCGGCTCCGCGGCCGAGGCGGCGGGGGCGGCGGCGCGCATGCGCGGGTGGCGGGCCCCCGTGTCGGCGCGGGCGCCGGGTCGCCCCCAGAACCCAAGGGCCGCGACCGCGCCGAACGGCTCGAACGGCCAGAACGGCGAATTTGCGCAGGGTGCGCGGCCTGGGGGAAGGAAGGGGCCCCCCCCGGGGAAAAGGCCCGGGGGGAGAAAAGCCCGAAGGGGGGGGGGGTTGAGGGCGGGGGTTTGAGCGGGGCTGGGCTGGGGCCGGGCCGGCCGGGCCGGGCCGGGCCGCGCGGGACTGGACTGACGGCTTCGCGAGGCGGGGGAGGCGGCGACAGCAGCGGTGCGCTGAACGCGGAGCGGGCCGGTTTGAGCGGGGCGGTGGAGGGGGGGAGCCGGGGAGCGGGGTGTAGCGTGTGGCGCGGCGCTCCCGCCCAGTAGCAGCGGGAGCTAGCGGTGAGGGTGTGAAATATGGGAGTGCGTGGTAGTGGTGCTTGGTGAGGTTTCACGTGGGGCGCTAACAGGCGTGCTTGCGTTCTTGTGTCGCTGTATATTAGGCTGCCTTTTTGCAGAAGACTACGGAATCTCTCCAAGAATCACCACTAGGTAGGCGTTCATATATATATCCATATACCGTGCATGGAAGCGGTTGTGTCATATATTTGCGTGTATGATGTTTGGATTTTCTGTGGTCACACTGTGTCGACTTGCTGACGTCTGAATTTTATTCTCCTGAATATGGAGGAAGGTGAAAGTTCAAAGTTTTGACTTAGCTTCGGTTTTTACGCGTAGTTTAAAGTTTAACATCATGGGTTTCTTCGTAGCAATTATAGTGCAGTGATATTAGGTGATGAGTGCTTGAATTGTTTATTTATTCCGGCTTTGGTCGTCCTCGCATGGACTTAAGTGAACCGTTTTCTTTCATATTGTCGTTTTTCTATTTATATCATATTTTTGTAAATAGTTAATTCAAGTAGTTGTTTTCTTACGTATCTCATTCAGCGAAATCGGGGAGTTCTATAAAAACGATTACTTTTAATAAGTTGATGTTCTGTGTTGTAGCCCAGGAAAATAAATTGTGAATGTTCTTTTTGAGAACGTAACTGGATGAACGATCGCAGTATTCCGTGGGTCTGAAGTGCTGTGCTCCGTGTGTTTACAAAAAGTTTTCGGAGGCTGAAGAATTTTCGTGAAAGCTGCAGACGGTGCACACAAGAATCTGAGACACATGGGAGTTGTTTTTGGGGAGCAGCTGCCTGCGCGAGCGGCGTGCCTGCCGTCCCCGCCGTCCCCCTGCGGCCCGGTTCCTCTCCCGCTCCGAGGGATGCTTTGTCGCGCGCGCGCCGCCACGCGTGGCTCGGCTGTATCGCGTGGGCGAGGCGGCGGCGCGCTAATGCATTCGCCCAAGACGGAACGCGAGAGCCCAATGAGGCCCGAGCCATTTGATGATACAGCTGAGGGATGGGAAAATATCACGTTCGTAGTTTAGGATGGACTAGATTTGCTTTGATTGTGGCAAACATATTGAATAATATAATTCTTGAAGTTTGCATACGGTTATTATTATATATATATATATATATATATATATATATATATATCTATATATATATATAATATATAATCAACACCACATTCACTACTACTATTATTCTATTACTACACACCATTACTATGATTACTGATTCTATACTACTACTACTACTACTACTACTACTATTACTACTACTACTATTACTACTACTACTACTATTACCACCACTCTACTACTACCACCACTAATACTACTACCACTACCACTTCTATTATGCATTGCATGAGTAGCTTACCTTAGGACATAGCTTAGTCTCGTTTTCTCTTCCTCACATTGTGCTACGCCAGACTGCACGGTCGCGGTCGCCTTTGTTCGCATGATAATTAACATTCACCTTTTCGTTTGGTACAACTTTTGTTTTCCTCACGATGAGGAGGGTAGGTCGTGAGTAGTCGTATTGGGCGAGCTTGTCACAAAAAATCGCGCCGTAGTTGTTTGGATTGACAATTTCCTTTTCTGCGCCAGCGACCGAGCTGAAGCACAGATGTTCGCACGTGTTTTCTTTTCGTACTGTTACAGGTTTGATCAAGTTTTAACTATGATGCAGAACGGCATGGATACAGTGCCACAACAGAACGGCACAATGCATACCAACTCAACATCCTCGTCGAATTCACACAACTCCTCATCGCAAACGAATACGGGTGGCCATCAGGAGGAGAGCAAGACGAATCTCATAGTAAACTACTTGCCCCAAACGATGACGCAGGAGGAGATTCGCTCGCTATTCGCCTCCATCGGGGAAGTCGAGAGCTGTAAGCTGATACGCGACAAAGTGACAGGTAAGCCGTGCCTGCGGATGGACGTCTGGATCCGCGGACGTTTTGTCGGCGGTCAGACGACAATGTGCTTTATTACTTTCTGTTAATTGTGCCTTGTACGAGTAGGGATGGGCAACAATACATTGTACGGTTTTTATTGCTATTATTTTTTTCTTTTGTGTTGATCCTGTTTTTCAGATTTTTTTCTTTGTAGTTAGCTTCGTCTAAACTCGATTAATTTTCAATTTCTTTTTAGAAAACAACACAGAGCAGTGCATCAGTTTGCTTGGCCGTGAGTATAGATTTCACCCAACCTCCAGTACAATCCATGATTCCTGGATGCTTCCAAAAACACGGGGGTTGCGGTGCAGTTTCTTTTATTTTATATTATTTTAATTTCGTATTTGAGCATGAAGTGACATTAGGTTATTTAGTTGTAAGAAGTTACCAAATGTAAACTTTACTAGTAGATATTGCCCATCCCTATGCAGCATTATCTTTATCATACATATTATGCATGGTGAGAGTTGTAGTTACTTTAGGTCTTAATTGAGAAGTTGATAGCTGGTTTGTGTTTGTGTTTTGACGTGTTGGTGCTGTTGTCGCAGTGACTTGTGATTTTTCTTCCAGTGTGTGTGCCTTTTGTGATTGAGCGCTTGCGCGCTTAAGCGTTTGAACGTTTTCTTGAGTAACCCTAACCGGGAGGTACCGCTATGGTGGGCCGTGGTGGGCCCCAGACTATCGATCCGTACACTGCTCGTGCCCGCCGTCCCCGCCGCCCGCTTGAATCGCGGCGCGGCGCCTGCGCTCAGCGGCCGTTGCGGGCACGCGCGCAGACGCAGTTTCTGCGCGTGCGTCGTCGCCGGACAGAGGGTTTTCTGTGGACTCGCGATGGAATTTCTAGGAAGCGAGTTAGCTTCTCTTCAATTGAACGCGTAACTTGTTAGCGACGTGTAGTTTGTTGCTGTTGTTTTTTCTAGTATCGCTTGCAAGGCGAAGTGTAGCACGTTGCAGGGTGACGGCTGGCCTCAGCGGCTGGCCTCAGCGGCTGGCCGCGCGCGGGGGGCCGCAGTGGGCAGTGGGCGAGCGTGCACGCGCGGCGGCGGCCATATTGGCGACTCGTGCTGGCGTGCCCGCGATCAATAATTCTCTTCCCGTCTTCGACTCGGGTGATTTGTGTGAAATTACGGCCGGGCTTCTTATCTGACGCGGCGGCTGACGAGTTCTTTGCAGAAACACCATCTGCGGCATCGTACCAGACGTTGCAGCAATACAATCGTCAATTCCATTGTGATGCTTTTGGGAGAAGAATACACGTTTTGCGCATGTTTTTTTTTCTAAAATTGAATTGCCGACTCGACAAGTACTAGATGAGGGAGTGGTGGCAGGAATTGTAAAAGAGGGACATTATCTCCTCCTAGCATTGTAGTGCTTTAATTGGCTTAGCCGCCCGGGCCTTTGGCAGTGGGTGCTGGAAGACGGTCCTTAGCCCAGCCCCAACGTCACGGCCCTGGCGGAAGCAGGAATACTTGGCGCGTGGGAAGCCCTGCTTGTTTCGGTGCGCGCGCGCGGCAGCAGCCCTCGCCCTCGCCCTCGCCCTCGCCCTCGCCCTCGCCCTCGCCCTCGTCCTCGTCCTCGTCCTCG